GCACTCAGGCACTGGCTTCTACCTCCTCTCTTTCTGAAGGACATTACTCCAGCACTGCCCCTTGTTCAATGTCACTTTTTTTTTTTTTAACCTGCCCATTGGTTCACACCCATCAATTTTCAAGCCTGCTATTATTTTTCTGAACTGAAAAAGTCTTTTCTTGATCTTATTTTTTTGACCAGCTATGGTACTATTTCTTTGCTTTTACAACAAAACTTTATGTATTTAAACTTTGAGAGAGAGAGAGAGAGAGAGAGAGAGAGCGAGCAAGCACAAGCAGTGGGGAGGGGCAGATGGAAAGGGAGTAGCAGACTCCCCACTGAACAGGGAGCCCAAGGCAGGCAGGACTCGATTGATCCCAGGGCTCTGGGATCATGACCTGAGCCGAAGGCAGACTCCTAACCGACTGAGCCCCCCCAGGCGCCCCTCTTCTCCTAACTTCTTAATGCTGGTGTGGCCCAAGTCTCTTTGACCTCTTATTCTCTTCCCTGTTCTCTTTATCCTCACTTCCTGGGTGAGCTCATCCAAGCCTATGGCTTTCAAGAACACTGATTGATTCCAAAGTGACAGGTACATCCCAGATTTCTCTCTTAAAACTCCAGACTTTTCATGTTTGGCATCTCAAACTCAATATGCTCAAAACTGAGTCCTCATCTTCCTGCCTGACCTCCTTCATATCTCAGCCTCTGGTTACTCAGGACAAACACTTTGGAGCGGTCTTCGTCTACTCTTTTCTACTCTGGACCAGATTATAAGGAATTCTATTGACTCTAGCTTCAAGATACATCTAGATTCTGACCACTTCTCACCAACTCTGCTGCTTCCAACTATACCGGGGTGAGCTACCACCATTTCTTTCTTGGACTAGCCTTCTGATTTCCCTGCTGCTACCCTGCATTCTCCCACATGATCCCTTTAAAACACAGAACAGATAATATCTTTCCTTTGCTCAAAACTCTCCAGTGGCTCTCTACATCCCCGAGAGTGAGAGACAAGTTCCTGAGAATGGCCTTCCAGGCCTAGTCTTCCTCTGTCCTCTATCACTTTCCTCCTCATTCACCCCGTTCCAACCAGGGTTTCTTTCTTTTCCATGAATGTAAGTGGCGTGCTCCCACCCCACGGCCTTTTCACTGGTCTGCCTTCTGTCTGGGTGCTCTTCCGCATTCATCTGGCCAATCTCTCCATTTTCTTCATGTCTTGGCTCAGATATCACAGTCTCTCGTCTCTCCACCACCATCAGTCCCTTTTATTCTGCTTTATCTTTTCTCCATATTATTACCTTAACATGAGACAACTTGCTTATTTATGTTCACTGTTTCTCTCTCCCTGCTATACTGCAAACTCTACAAGGTAAGCGTCTTTGCTTTGTTCGCCGATGGATTCCAGGAGCCTAGAATAGTGTGACTGGTCTTGAATGAGCCCTTATTGACTACTTGTTGAGTATTTAACATCCTCCAAGTGATAAGATACTGCAGCCAAGAAGAGAAGACAATATACATAAAAGGTCCCTAAGAACAAGACAAACCCCTGGACATAAGGAAACACTCAATAGAAGGACTGGAAAATAGAGTTGAAATCTCTTGGAAAGTAAAGCAAAAAGACAAGGGGATGCGAAAAGGGAAAAAACAGGGTCCATCATGGGGATTTAACACCCAAATAGCACGTGTTCAAGAAAAAGACAAGGAAATCAAAGGGGAAAAAACATTAAGAAGTTAAGAAAAGTCCTGGAATTGAAAGACACAAGTTTCCAGTGAAGCTGGAAGGACTTAGCAAGAGTCCAGGACTGGCTCATTGTCATACAGAGAAGAAATCTGTAGCTTGCAAAATAATTACATGCAAAAATCACACATAAAGAAACAAGGATCACAATGGCTATGAATTTCTCAGAGGCAGCATTGGAAGCTAGAATACAGTGCAGCAATGCCTTGAAATGTCACCAGTGATTTCCAGTCCAGAATTCTATAAACCATCTGTGACTTCTGTGCCAGAGCAGAACCAAGGCATCTTTCGGGCACGCACGATCTCAGAACATTTAGTGCAGGTGCCAAGAGGGAGTGGGGTCCTCCTTCCCACTATTGGAGAGACTCAGGGCTCCTTGAGGCAGAAAAGCAGGCCCTGTTCTTTATCCCCCTTTTCATTCCCAACAGGTGATATAGCATTTGATAACTTCAAGAAATGGTTTGAAAAGCCACACTCCCCCAGGTTTCAATTCGTACTTTCTGTAGGGGGCACCTAGGGGAAGGGGCATTGGGTGCAAGTCAGAGTATGACCATTGGGTGCAAAATTGTGTGGGTCTGTTGGAAACCTACCTGTCCTCCATTCTACTGCTAATCCTGGGCAAGGCTGTCCGCTTTCTCACTTGTAAAACAGGCATAACAGTGTCTGCCTCCAGCAGCGTTGTCACCATTAAGGACAGTGAGTGCAGTGAGATGCTCTTACCATCACTGTCCAGCTTTCATGGAGCCTTGGGATAAAAAACAGAACGCATGTGTAGACACCGTCCGTTACTGTTCAGCTGAATTATTCAGTAAATCGTGATGTGGGCCATTGCCACATGTGCAAGTTGGAAGAGTGAAATCTTCACAATGGTGACCAATACTCTTAGCCAACCCCACTGTCACATGGAGACAGAGGTTGGAACAAATGAAGAGCCCACAAGTCGTCATCGCAAAACTGTCTTTACTAACAAAACCAAAGAACCCCACACACGTTTTGTGGCCATCAGGTTTTCTTTCAAATTTTAAAATGGCATTGTGCATACACATAGTTTTTAAATTTAGACACATCTTGGAGATCACAAACAAATCAAGAGATCACTGGGAGATGTTCTGAGATCTGAATTCAAACACTTAGAACCGCTGAACTGACTTCCGGAAGTCCTCTGTTCCTTGAAGGGGGTGCCCTTTCGAGTCTGCCTTCAGGGACCAATCCGGGATCTGTCCCTTCGGCAGCAGCTACGTGACAGGTGCCAGGAAGAGGGAATGATCCGGTCTGAGAACCGCACAGCTGTTACCACCCGGTGGGTAAGCAGGAAGGTGTCAACCCAGCTGACTAAAGAAGGAAAACCCATAAATAAAAGCTCCATTTATTCCATAAATATTTTGTCTTTCCCTCAGTACATCAGTCGGAAAGAAGCCTAACACTGACTTCTCATACGTGGGGAGATGCCAGGGGAAGTGAGTCACCCTTGCTGTTTCCGGCCTGGAGACATGCGCCCCAAATCAGGGCTTCCACGTGTTCCCCCTCGCTGAGGCAGGACGGGCTGCAGGTGTCTGGGGGCAACCCATGTGCAGTCCCACTGGCTTCCCCTGAAGAATTAAGTTTGGGCAAAGCTTTTAGCAAAAGCCTCGAGGCAGGCAACACCTCCTAAGCTCTCATGTGTGGTTTGGAGGAGGTGGGTGGGGAGGGAGCGAGCAGGGCTGTTGGGCTCGGCCGTGTCATCAGGGGAGCTCTCCTGCCAAACCATCTCCCTCAACGGGTTCAGGACCGCAGAGCCTGACTAGGAATGGGGCGCTTGACTGCCCGAGAAGCACTGGGCGGGCCCGGGAAGTTGGTTACACTATAACCATGAGAATTTACACCCAGGGAAGCCATCAACCTAACTTGAGAGAGGATGGTCACGACTTAGAAACAATGTCTGCAATGAAGGGATCCATGAGGCTTCATTTAGAAAATGAAGGTCACAAGCTAGGAGGCCACAGCCCCGCAAATAAAGGGTCAGCAACATCCTACACGAACTGCATATGCCTGAAGATTTGTCTTCCACGTTGATATTCTTGCTCCTTTATGAAAGGAGAGGGAACCAGGGCTGATGAGTGATTAGACAGACCCTTACAGGCAAGGAGCAGACCAGCGGAGAAGCCTGTCTAGGCTTTTATGACCCATGCCTTAGCTCCCAAGAGGACAAGTACATGGAAAGTCCTAGGCCACTGGTATGGTGATGACAAAACTCTTCTAAAAACTGAAATCTAAAAGAATTATTGAGGATATGCTAATCAAAATTAATGCCCCCTTTTTTTTTTTTTTAGATAAAACAGGTCAGACAGATAACACCACAATTTTCTTGGTTAGATTATGTTTCCCATATGTATAAATGCAGACTAGTCCTTTTTCACTTAATATATTTCATCAAATGTGAGATTTCAATCACCCAAAAGTAGGCCAAAAAATGACTATATTCCTCCCAAATTTATACTGCAGTAACTTACCAAATTTTGAAGTAAGCTTAATTGCAAGGACAAGGAAACAGATGAGTATCTGCTTATCACCATCTGGAACTGTATCCACTGAACTTATAATAGGTTACGATGTTGATAAAATTGAGGTGTCGTCTGTTTTAATAATGTAAACCAAATCTAGAACGGCCAGTGCTTAGTCACTCCTACTTGATTTACATTATGCTCATGAAAAGGCTTCCCTTGACTGTTTTCTGGGATCACGAAGTCCACTGCCCAGGGCACTGGCCGCTTTGGATAGGGTTGAAAGGAGCCTCTGGAACTCCACACCGGCGCCCGGAGCTTCTGCTGAGAACAGGGAGCCCCAGTAGAGCTGCCGTGCGTGCCCTCTGGCTTCTTAAAAACACTAAGGGTGAACACAGAACACAAGGGGGGAGCATTCAGCTAGCTTGTGCAAAGGCTCAACCCCCACCCCCAACCATTCCCGCCCCCCCCCCCCCCCAATTAACATGACTCTTAATTTCAGTCTTTGGACCAGTCTCCCCTCATGCTTGTCTGAAAGGTACTCACAGAAAGTGCTGACAAAGTATCACTAGGATATCACCTCAGAGAAGCTTTCTGATCTGTAAGAGGGACACCACCTGACCATTCCTGCTTGTCAACACAGAAGACACCTCCCTTGAAATACTATGTACAGAGAAGTGGCTGCCACCGTCCTCTCGCGCGCGGTCGGCTCCGGGCTCGCGGAAAGAGCAGGGCTTCCTGTCTGGAGCAACTTACACCTACACACAACACACACCAAGAAACATGCAAATGCTACAGAAGGCCGGATGTGAAGAATTCGTATTTTACACCGGGAAGGGGAACACTGTTACAAAACGCTGATGGGATGGTTTCTGTCATTCATGCTCTAACTTGAGGGTCTCTGCAACAAAGGGGGCCCGTGAAGGTGTTTGCTTCTCTCTCTCTCCTTTTCTTGCCGTCTTCAGGATTCATAGTTGGTTCTGTGGCAGGCACTAAGCAATCTGGCTTTTGGTCCAAACCGGTGTCTTAGTAGTCTCTCTACATCTTTGTGTTCCTCTGCGAAGGGGCAAGTTCAAATGCCGGAAACCGGGAGGTCTCTGGTGCCAGGATGTCGGAGAGGAAGTGAATCGCGCCGGCCATGCCTGCAACGTACAATGTGGGTCCCTTTATTAGAGGCCATTAGGGAGTGTCTGAAACCAAGTGAACTTTAATCATTTCCTTTGCCAGGGGCTATCGGGATGATGGAAAAGGTGCTGAGGACTTCATCAATGACTTCATAAAAAAAAAAAAAGTACAAAACAAACAAAGAAATCCTTACATTAGCACCCAGCAGATAACACCAGTTTTCTTCTTCTTTTTTTTTTTTTAATTGGGTTCTGGGCTTTAATCTCATATCTTGAAACTTTAGGATGATCTCATGGAATGGCTTCCTACAAAGCTACAGTGCTGCTATGGTGAGATTTCAACTATAAAACTTCCTCTCTCAGAGCTTTATTTTTAGTCCAAACAAAAGGTTGCATTTTTTTTTTAATCTCCTTTAAGTTTTAGGAATTCCACTTTAATTTTTAAAACTCTAAATTTTAACATTAGCTTCAGGTGTACCACTGAGGGAGTCAATACTTCTATGCATTATTCTGCACTCATCCTGGGTCCTCTTCATTCCCTTCCCCTATCCAGCCCCCGCCCCGCCCACCTCCCCTCTGGTAACCTTCAGTTTCTTCTCTGTAGTTAAGGGTCTGTTTCTTGGTTTGTCTTTTTTCCCCTTTGTTTTGTGTCTTAAATTCCACATATGAGTGAAATCATACGCTATCTTTCACTGACGGATTTGGTTTGCTTTGGGAAGTGGTACATTTGACCTTCTCCATCTATGGCAGTATGGCAAGATTTCTTTTTTTTTTTTTAAATTCTATTTATTTATTTGACACAGAGAGAGAGAGAGATCAGAGGTAGGCATAGAGGCAGGCAGAGAAAGAGGGAGAAGTAGGCTCCCTGCTGAGCAGGGAGCCCGATGCAGGACTTGATCCCAGGACCCTGAGACCATGTCCTGAGCTGAAGGCAGAGGCTTAACCCACTGAGCCACCCAGGCGCCCCAATTTCCTTCTTTTTTTGTGGTTAAATATTCCATTATTCTCTCTCTCTCTCACACACACACACACACACACACACACACAAATGCCACTTTAAAATGAACTTTGTTTTCGGGCGCCTGGGTGGCTCAGTGGGTTAAGCATCTGACTTTAGCTCAGGTCATAATCTCAGGGTCCTGGGATTGAACCCGGTGTCAAGCTCGGTGCTCATGGGAGAGTCTCCTCGTCTCTGCCCCTCCTCTTGCTCCTGCTCTCTCAAATAAACAAAATCTTAAAAAAAATAAATAAAACGAACTTTGTTTTCATCAAAATCACTGCAAATCATTGTGGTCTGCACCAAGATCGGGTTTTAAATTGATCTACAGGAGGGTGGGCAAGGTAGTCTGCTAGCTGGCTGGCCCCAGCCTCTAGGCCTTATTAAACTATTAAACAGGGGCACCTGGGTGACTCAGTGGGTTAAATCCTCTGCCTTTGGCTCAGGTCATGATCGCAGAGTCCTGGGATCGAGCCCCACATCAGGCTCTCTGCTTAGCGGGGAGCCTGCTTCCCCTCTCTCTCTGCCTGCCTCTCTGCCTACTTGTGATCTCTATCAAATAAATACATAAAATCTTAAAAAAAATAAACTATTAAACAAACTGATCTTAAGTTTTAAAACTACCCCTGCCCAAATCTCTACTCCAAGATTTCACTGGAGAATTCTACCAAACATTTAACACCAATTAATACATTATCTGTCCCAGAAAACAGAAAAGCAAAGGATAGTTCTCATTACCATTTATTAGGTCGGTATTACTTTGATACCAAAACAGACAAAGATAGTACAACAAAGGAAAACTCTAGGCCAAATTCCTCATGAATACAGACACAAAAGTCCTCAGCAAAATATTAGCAAATACACTTCAGCAATATGTAAGACCAAGCGAGGTTTACCTCAGAGATGCAAGGCTGGCTTAAAATTTGAAAATCAACCAATGTAATCCACAATGTTAATAAATTTAAAAGAAAAAAAAAACATTATGTCAACTGATGCAGAAAAAAGCATTTGACAAAATTCAACACCCATCTATTGTTTGGTTTTTAAAAAAATAGTCATTTATTCCTTCTGAAGTTTACTTCGGAATTAGTATAAAATGAAGCCCTAAAGTAATTAAAAGTCATCAACAATTTATCCTAATACCATTTAGCCTTTGCCCTTTGATTTCTGTGGCTGGCATTACAAATTATCTAATTCTCTCTTTCTCTCTTTCTCTCTCTCTCTCACACACACACACACACACACACACACATAGAATACAAATACAAAAAATGTATGAGTCCTCTCTGTAGGGTTTCTATTTTGTTTTCCTGAATTATATTCTACACATGGTGCTTTGCAACAGACTTATTGTGTTTGTCCATTTCCTGTCTTTGCTTGTTTTTCAGAACTTTCTTCAGTAGGCTATCATTTTTCCAACTACTAATACTTTCAAATTACTAAGATCAATTATTTATACTTCTTTATACACCTGAAATAATTAAACACATTTAAGTAACCAGTTTCCTGTGAATAGATATTATATACACACTGTTAAAGACAATATGCAGAGGAGTAAACTTATTTCTTCTATTACTGAGCAGCAAACATTCTATCTTGTCTGCAGGTATTTTCTACCAAAGATTGAGAAATATCTGAAGGACACTCACAGGTACATGAATTAGGTAAGGCAGAGAGACTCAATATAACTTTCAGCAATGAACTACATTGTTCACAGTTATTTCATGGCTGTGGAGTTATTACTTGAGTTAGGAGCCAATGTAATAGAGCCAGTGCAGAGAGAGGCAGAAACACCAAACTCACTCACCCACGTATTTAAACCGGGCGTTTCCCGCTTGCTCTTACCTTCAAAGAGAGAATAGGGCCGGTCGGGAATGCGGCACCCATGTGCTCCATAGTCTAGACACCACTCGGCAAACTACGAGGAAACATATTTAAGAGCAGAGATTTCACTAGGTGAAAAGGCAGCAAGTAAGACACCGCATGAATTCACCAAGAACACAAGGAAGAAGATTCTCGGGCAACAGAGAGCGGTCAACATGGCCCAGCTTGGCCAGAGGTGCGGTGCGGGATGGGGGGGCTGGGTGGGCAGGAGAAACAGGGGAGACCACAGAGTTGCAAGAAACGGGCTAAGAGAAGGGGAGAAGCTGTATTTTTGGATTTTGTGCAGGCCCTGGAGTATTCAAAAGCTGTCTGAATAAAGGCTCCTTACTTTGCAAGCTCGGTAGAGGTACTTTTTATCCTGCGTGAGATGGTACAGGGACAGGAACGAGTAGCCATTGCCGGCGGTCCCGTGGCAGATCCCGTAGCCCTTCCGAAGCAAACCTCGCTGCCAGATGACGTCACTGCACTCCATGGCGTCCTTCAAGTACTTCTCCTCCTTAAAGACCTGGGCCATGAAAAGGCAAAGCGGTGTTAAAAAGATGTTTCTAGTTTCCCGTTCTGCTTAGTCGACGACACATTAGGAAACCTGACCCGGCTCTGGGGGTAGAGCAAACGCCATCAGCAGCGCCACGTATGGAGCCTCACAGTCTTAATCCACCCAAGGTCTCCTCCCCTCGTCCTCCTGGTTCATGGCTTTGCAGAAGTAAAATGAGTGGTTTGTACGGAAAGAGACAAATGAGCTCAGCGAGGACAAAAGCCCGGCGGGAGGGAGCTGTTTGTGCCTCCTCCAATTCCCTTTTACATTTTCTTCTCTTTCTCCCCACATTTCATTTATTTTGTTTCTCTAGTCCTGCCCTCAGAACCTGTCGTCCGCATCTCCCCCTGCTTAGCTCAGTCCATGCATGCATAAATGAATTAGAGGCAAAAGCGTCATCAGAGACGCTCTCCTTGTGGGAAGCAAACAGGATTCATCTACCTGTAACTGATTAGCAGTGACCTCAAAAAAAACGAGATGAATGATGTGAATCCGTGTCTGCAGAGGGTCGAAGGGGAAGGAGAGAGACATTTGCATTTCACTCACTTTCCTCATGTGGGATCTATTCACCAGGGTCAGAAGTAAGACTCCGACTCCTGAGAGCAGCTGAGGGGTGAGCTCTGGGGTCACACTGCCCTGCATCGGAATCTCAGCTCTGTCACCTTTTTAACTGCGTGGCCCAGCCCTGGACGAGTCGCTCAACCTCTTAGGTCTCAGTTTTCCCAGCTATGAAAGGATATAAGGTCTTCATCTCAGTGGCCTGTTATGAGTATTAATGACACCAAATCAATCAAATGGGGGAAAAGAAAAGTCTTTTCAATAAACAATGTAGGGACATTCAGACATCCTGATGCTTAAAAAAAAAGACTCTCTTCTTGTCACATATACAAACCTAATATGTGAAATATACATGTAATATATAAAATTTAAGATAGCTCATAGTTCCAAATCTCAATCCGTGCAGGCAGGGAAGAATGCTATCTGTATAACCTGGGGCTAAGTAAAATCGGTGACCATTAAAAAAATAAAAACTGGGGCGCCTGGGTGGCTCAGTGGGTTAAAGCCTCTGCCCTCGGCTCAGGTCACGATCCCAGAGTTCTGGGATCGAACTCCACATCGGGCTCTCTGCTCAGCGGGGAGGCTGCTTCCCTTCCTCTCTCTCTGCCTGCCTCTCTGCCTACCTGTAATCTCTGTCAAATAAATAAATAAAATCTTTAAAAAAAGCGAAAACTCACTGAAGTGGGGTCAGGAGGTTAGAAGGAAAACCTGCCACTCTACTCAATTCCAGGAAGACTTGTCAATTACAGACCCCAACAGAAGAGGAAACTGGAAAGAGGAAAGAATCGTCAATTTTAGGCCCCAAGAGGAGATCACTGCGTCTCCTACAAGAAATTGACTAGCCCTGCAACTCAGCCAATGAGAAACCGCCATGACCCTGAACAGCTGCTCTTGTCCAGTGGACTTACATTCGAAACAACCTCTCCCCGCTTCCTCCTCCTCCTCCATAAAATAATGTTCATTTCCTTTGTTTGTTGGACTTGCCTATGGTTCTGTTACAGCTTGCATATCCCAAAATGTAATTCTCCACTATTCTTGAATAGGCCCATTTTGCTGGTAAAATAATTGACTGTTTTATTTTGTAGGTTAACAATTTCTTAGACAAGATACAGAAAGAAATTACCATAAAAAACTTGAAAACACATAGACTTTATCAGAATTAAAAAACTCTATTCATCAAAAGATACCACAAACATTATGATCAGGCAACTACAAAATTATTTCTAAAACATCTGTCTGACAAGGACTTGTAACCAGAGCATATGAAGAATCCTTACAACTCAATAACAAGATAAAAGAAAGAATAAAACAACGTGGATAAAAGGAATGAACAAACATTCAACAAAGGAAGATATATAAATGAGCCAGGAACACGGGCAAAATTGCTATCCATTAAAAACTACAATGCGGGCACCTGGGTGGCTCAGTTGGTTAAGCGACTGCCTTCAGCTCAGGTCATGATCCCAGGGTCCTGGGATCAAGCCCAGCTCAGTGGGGAGCCTGCTTCTCCCTCTCCCACTCTCCTGCTTGTGTTCCCTCTCTCTCTGTCCCTCTCTCTCTGTCAAATAAATAAATAAAATCTTAAAAAAAAAAAAAACAATGAAATATCTGCCCGAATGTAAATAAAAAGCCTTTTAATACCAGGTGTTGCCAAATATGTGAACTCTCTTACGTTGTCGATGGAACGTAAAAGGAACGAGATTCTTTGTGAAAAGGTCTAGCAGTTTCTTACAGTTACTCTGATCCAGCGATTCAACTCCTAGGTGTTGGCCCCAAAGGAATGAAGACACGCATCTACAAAAAGACCCGTACAAGAATGTTCATGGCAGCTTATGCGTGAAAGAGTAAAAAACTAGAAACAACTGGAAAACAAATGGATGAAGCGTGGTAGATTTATGTACGTGATGCTTAAACTTAGGAAGGAAACTTAAATCTTGAGGAAGAAGGAAACAAAGTGCAATTTGAAGGGATCTCTCCAGCTCATTCTGACGGGCACCCCAAGATAGTTCATGTTTCAAATAGTCAACTTGCAAATGAGCTTCTGGAGCACTGTTTACATGAAAGCATGTTTGATGTATGCTCAGCAGCCGGCCATCAGAGAGCATTTCTAATACGGCTCTGATGTGGGGTTTCCAGCAGAGGGATGTAGGTAGGAGTGGGGAAGGCGGGATGGTTTCATACTTCACAGAATCAAGAGTATATTAATCTCACTGTGGTATGACTTACATGGTTTTCCTGGGCAGCATATTTGTAAATACCTTTCCAAGTACAATTTTCATTGGACCAATGTGAGCATTTGTTGATAGTGGCTGAATTCACACAAATGCTAACACCGGAGGGCCCATCTGTGTAGTTAGAAGGTAGAATTTGTTACCATCGCCTGTAATCTACTGTCAGATAATCAAGAACTGCTCAGCAAAACAGCTTCCAGCTATAGGGTCCAGAAATGTAATCTGCTAGAAAATCATCTGCAATTCCTATAATTCCTAATATAGCATAGAATATTATTAAAACCCTGACATTTTTCAAGGATCATCTCGAATACTACATAATTTCAAATTAACAATATGTGTTCATACAAAGTAGAGGACACCCAACTACACACATGATTAGCAATTCTGAGAAGAGAAAACAAATGAAGTGAAACTAGATTCAGTTTATAGTTTTATCTGTGAAGGATATTAATATCTTTTTCAAATACTTGAAAACCTTATGCTTCCATAAGCGTTCTTGAAGAACTTACGGATTCACATGGCAGCAAGAGAAAACAGTGAAAACTTATATAAAATGTAAGCACTTCCTAATTCTGAGACCGCTTCAGCGAATGCAGATGCTCTGAATCTGAGTTAACAATAACGCGAGAGAAAAGGGAGCCTCGAGCTGACTTTCTTCCTCGCCTTCCTCGTGTTTGAGAGTCTTGATGGAAATGGACAAAATCAAGTTTTAGTGACTGAGTATGGGATCTTTGTGTCTTTGCTCTACGCTTAAAAGAAGAGAGAACTTTCTGTTTCAGAGTAAGCAAGGCAGGGCCAGACATTCAAATGACAGTCTGAGCCGAAGCCAGACAGGAAGCAGGGGCTCAGGGACATCTGTGACGTTGCTCCCCGTGTGACCAGCAATGCTAGAAGCAGACGGCAGGGACAGGCAACAGCACCAGGAGAAATGGGCCTCCTCAGGATGATGGCCCCGCTGGATGTCGGGGCTCCTGACGACCCGCTTACCACTGGCTCGGGTGGGGACGGGGGAGACCCCCAGAAGCAAAAGGTTCCACTTTTTATCAAAGTCATACATCTGTTTTGAATATCAAAGAGTTGTTGTTTGTTCACAATACACTCATTAGGGTTGGACAATTCTAAAATTGTAGACTTATCTCTGTGTCACCGAAGTTACAACCATCTCTCTAAAGCTCTAAAAAAGGGAGGCAACCATTTGAACAGAATTTTATTTTAATTTAAAGACTGAGGTCGTGTTAAGTTCTTATTTCCAAAGAGTATATTTCACTGTGCTTTTTTTTATCATAACTTTCTGAGTTATTTTCTTAAATGCTCATACCTGAATTTTATATTTGAATATTTTACGTATTACTGTTGTAGGAGGACTAAAAAATTCAGAAAAATTAGCCAATATCATGAACAATTCCCACAGTTTTTCTAGATTATTATGGTTAGCCACAAAGGGAAAATAAAATTGATTTGGGGACTAGTTCTTTTGTTATTTCTAGGTAGAAATATGAATTCTGCTTCACTGATTCTATCTATTAAAACTAAAGAGTTTAGGGGCGCCTGGGTGGCTCAGTGGGTTAAGCCTCTGCCTTCGGCTCGGGTCATGGTCTCAGAGTCCTGGGATCAAGCCCCATATCGGGCTCTCTGCTCAGTGGGGAGCCTGCTTCCTCCTCTCTCTCTCTCTGCCTGCCTCTCTGACTACTTGTGATCTGTCAAATAAATAAATAAAAATTAAAAAAAAAAGTTTATGCCAAAACACTAATTATTATGGTTACTATTATATACCTTGATATATGAACAACAACCTCCAACATCAAATATTACAAATAAAGATGCATTAAAAAGATAAAACTACAGAAGAAGTACTGCTTACAATGCAATTACAAAATGGGCAGAGGACCTGACTAGACATTTTTGCAAAGAAGACATGCAGATGGCCAACAGACAATGAAAAGATATTCAACGTCACTAATCAACAGGGAAGTACAAATCAAAATCATAATGAGGTATCATCTCACACTGTCGGAATGGCTAAAGTCAAAAAGACAAGAAATCACAAGTGTTAGAGAAGATAGGGAGAAAAAGAAACCCTGGTGCACTATTGATGGCAATGTAAATTGGTTCGGCCACTGTGGAAAACACTATGGAGATCCCTCAAAAATTTAAAACTAGAGGGGCGCCTGGGTGGCTCAGTGGGTTAAAGCCTCTGCCTTCAGCTCAGGTCATGATCCCGGGGTCCTGGGATCGAGCCCCGCATCGGGCTCTCTGCTCCGCGGGGAGCCTGCTTCCTCCTCTCTCTCTCTGCCTTCCTCTCTGCCTACTTGTGATCTCTGTCAAATAAATAAATAAAATCTTTAAAAAAAAAAAAAATTTAAAACTAGAGATAACATATGATCCATTAATTCTACTACTGGGTATTTGACCAAAGAGAACAAAAACACTAATTCAAAAAGATTATGCCCCTCTGTTTACTGCAGCATTATTTATAACAGCTAAGATATGGAAGCAACCTGGATGTACACTGATAGACAAATGGATAAGATGTGTGTGTGTGTGTGTGTGTGTGCGCGTGTGTCTATTAATCAGCCATAAAAAAGGAGATCATGCCAGTTGGTACAACATGGATGGACCAAGAGGGTATGATGCTTTAGTGAAATAAGTCAGACAGAAAGGCAAATACCATGAGATTTCACTCATGTGGAATCTAAAAAAGAAAAGTGAATAAACAAACAAAAAGACTCATACCTGTAAATACAGAGAACAAACTTGTGGTTGTGGGGGTATCGGGAAAATGGGTGAAGGGGAGTGGGAGCTAACAGGCTTCCAATGGTGGAATGCATGCGTCACATGAATAAAAGGCGCAGCATAGGGAATAGAGTCAATGACAATGTAATAGCATCGCGTGGTGACAGATGGCAGCTACACTTGTGGTGAGCAGAGCATAATGTAGAAAATTGTGACACCACTAGGTTGTACGAAGTAATACAACTCTGTGTGTCAACTACATTCAAAGAAAAAAAATTAAGATTTTATTTATTTATTTTAGAGAGAGAATCTGAGGGGGAGTGGGGCAGAGGGAAAGGGGGAGGCAGACTCGCCGCTCAGCAGGGAGCCTGATGTGGGGCTGGATCCCAGGACTTCGGGATCATGACCTGAGCCAAAGGCTGATGCTTAACTGTTGACTGAGCCACCCAGGCGCTCTCAAATAAGAAATTCAAAAAATAAAATGTGGTACAGTCTCCTAAAAAACTTGCTTGAAACATTTTTTTCTTTAAATGTGAATTATTTTTCCAAGAAACACTAAAAAACTTAAAAATATTGCAGGATACAGTAAGCTGTTTGTAATTTCAACTTCTATGCAATAAAATACTATGAAGACACACTTAAAGACAACTAAAAAAAAAAAAAAAAGGCAGCATTGTTTGCTTTCAACTTACAAGGTTAATTCTTAGTCCAGGAGAGAAATCAAATGTATTCCTAATATTGTGCCCAAATACTATCTTGAGACTACCAGAATTAACCAGTAAAGGTACTGCCTATTTGTTTGTAATACCCCATATGTGTAAAACTTTGAACATCACACTCCTTCCTTATGAATAATTTTATAGAAATTTTAAGGTCCAATTTAAAGGGCCCCAAATAAGCATATCGTCCAGGAATGAAGCAAGAAAATAAAATGATGTGAAGTCCAACAAAAAAGCATTTGGTTATAATAGTGCCGACTGCCTTCTCAGATATTTGCATGCAGAATGGAAATCCTTACTCTGCTGCCACCCAGCCTTTCTTTCACACATGAACATAATCCCTATTAAAACACACACGCATTGGGGCGCCTGGGTGGTTCAGTGGGTTAAAGCCTCTGCCTTCCGATCAGGTCATGATCCCAGGGTCCTGGGATCGAGCCCCGCATCGGGCTCTCTGCTCAGCAGGGAGCCTGCTTCTCCCTCTCTCTGCCTGCCTCTCTGCCTACTTGTGATCTCTCTGTCAAATAAATAAATAAAATCTTTAAAAAAACAACAACACACACACACACATGCACTGGGGAGGGTATGTGCTATGGTGAGTGCTGTGAAGTGTGTAAACCTTGCGATTCACAGACCTGTACCTCTGGGGCTAATAATACATTATATGTTTATAAAAAAATTAAAAAATTAAAAAAAAAACCACAAAAATACACACACACATGCACTCACAGCTCCAACTTCCGGGGCAAGATAAAGTGAAATAGGGAGACTTAATTTTGTAAAAACATCAGTTCTGAAGGGTTTTTTGTTTGCAATCAAATGTGCTGGCCAAAACCAGACTAAAAGCCTGGCAGAGGAAAGCGGATCTCCAAACATCCAATGCGTGTGACACGAATGGCGACACTGACCTTGTAGGCCTGCATGAGCATGTGGATGACCCCGGGGGCACCGTGGCACCAGTGGACCAAGCGATCTGTTTCATTGCTCAGCGATGATGGGTAGTTCCCAGAGCGGAATCTTTTGTGGCGCACATAATCGATACTAGGTTTCACCATTTCTGTCAGGGTTTCTTGGTCCACTTTTGCTGCTGGCTTTAAACAGAGGAAAACAAAACATTTATTTTTCCTTACTTTTTTTTTTAAGCCTTTGTACTGTAGCTAATATAGCAAAGCCTCAAGGCCTCAATTACCTGGAATACCAAGAAGCATATAAAGCTCAAATTAATTCAATTATCTGGTTATTTAAGACTTGGGGGGGACCTTTCTTTAGTTCAATTTGTCTTGATGTCGAAGCCAAAGTCTGAAGGCCGTCTGCTGGAGAAGTCCCTCTTGCGCAGGGCAGGCCTTTGACTGACTGAATGAGGCCCACCCACATTATGGAAACGGCTTTACTAAAAGTGCAAGCATCTGTGGGAGTGCTGGCAATTATGACTCCATCTCCGGCCCCCCTCTTGTTCCTATTTGCTCGGTGACCTCTCCTGCGGCTACGTGCTCCGGGCCCCGGGAGACTGACACACGTACCTTAGAAATGGCGGCCAAGGCAGGGACTGGGGGAGGCTTGTTTTGGCCTCTCATGAATCTGCCTGAGGTAACACAGTCTTACCCTTTCCTGATGCACAGACGGGGGCCCCAAGATCTCCGTAAAGGGTAGCTGTCAGTTAGGTGCATGCAAGCCCTTTAAGGGGTGTGAGAACCTTCTGACCTCACTACAGTGCCCTCTGGACGTCCCCTCCGTCTATAAAATCTATGGTCTAAGGTCTGGTCTTCCTGAATAATAACTAGGCAGCTGCTGTGGACCGTCCTCTGCTGCCCAGCCCCCCCCCCCCCGCCCCCCCCCCCCCCCCCCCCCCCCGCGTCAGAAAGTCATCCTGAATAAAACTCTGTAGACTCTGTGAATGGCCTGCTTCGTTTTCTGGTCTCCAAGTGTCTTCTCAGTCAGGGGATACTTTACTGTCCCTCCCCACCTTCCAATGCCGTTTAAATGTAAATCTCACCCAAAATGTCCTCACAGAAACATCCAGAAAAATGTCTGACCACCTACCTGGGCATTGTGGCCCAGCCAAATTAGTAGAGACTAAGAACCAGCCAGCTAACATTTCTAACGGGGACTCTGAAACTCCTACATTGGGCAACCTTTCATCTGAGCCATTCCTCCAATAACAGAATACAACAACAACAACAGCCCAACTTCAATCCCCGTGGGGGCAGGGAGGGCTGCCCAGAACCCGGTGGACACGCAGGCCTGCCCCTGTGTTCGGTTCTATGCTTCACTTCAACTGTCTCACACTGGCCTTTCTGAAGCTGCAGGATCTTGTTCAGTTGCTCCAGACCCTTCCATCTCCAGCAGAAGTCAGGGGAGGAACAATCGGTTTGCGGGGCCATCTCACTGATGGAGATCCAGTGGCTCCGTGTGAATATTTTCAAAGCTGCCCTCCTGCACCCACACCTCCCCCGTATGCAACGTATCCCCCGTTCGGCTCTGCCTCCCCCAGCAACGGCACTTCCAGTCCCCGGGGCCCGGGTGCTGCCGCACAGACGCGCTGGCTTCCGGGGCATCTTCCTCTGACCCCACGCATGATCCGCCTCTGTCCCATCTGGTCCCCCGCCGCTCTTTCCTCTACGCTCAGTCTACGTACATGTACTCTGGGCCTCCAGAGTGTCTCGTAGTCTCATCAAGGAAGTTGGGTTTCTGGGTTTTTTTTGTTTGTTTTTTTGTCTGTTTTGAGATCGTTTTCAAGAGGAGAAATGTCTTTATTCTGCCATCCTGAAAGCGAGTTTAAGTCACATTTTCAAAGTTTTCGTGCGACCTCTTCTGAGAGCCTTCCCAATGAAACCACACAGCAGAACCTACGGCACCACGCAGTCCCCCCGCTGCTCCGCGGAGTGGCGTTAAGTGCCTGGCTGGGTGGACAGGTGCGACCTGGCTCCGGCTCAGAAGCTGGTGTAGCACACTGCGGCCTGTGATTGCTACAAGAAAACTGACATCGATTTCTATACAGAATCCTGCCGAAAGTGTATTCTCACGTTCTTCACTTTAAAGCAGATAAAGGGGACAACTTTGTGACTTGCGTTTCTCTCAAGGAAGCCCCTGATATCTAACAAAATTAGCCTAAACATCTACATCTAAACTTTAAGGTTATGTCTTATTGGTGTGGTTTTCATAGGGTTCCGTTCCCCTAAGGGCATCATTTAAAAAGAAAGTTTCAGGGGCACCTGGGTGGCTCAGTGGGTTAAGCCTCTGCCTTCGGCTCAGGTCATGATCTCAGGGTCCTCGGATCAAGCCCCGCATCGGGCTCTTTACTCAGCAGGGAGCCTACTTCCCTCTCTTTCTCTGCCTGTCTCTCCGCCTACTTGTGATCTCTGTCTCTCAAATAAATAAAATCTTAAAAAAAAAAGTTTCAAAGGCTAGTGTTAACACATTTTCTGTGAAAATAGAAAATATACACAAACTACCAGTGTTCCAAACTAATAATGCTATTTTTAAATGAGCTCTGGAAACCTAGTTACTTGAAAACGTGTCTGCACCATAAAGAAAATTCATAAACTGGGATATGTACGTTTTGCTTCCTACAACAATAAACAAAGAGAACTAATTACCAGAAAAGGGGGTTTTCGTCCCATGTAGATATGGATTTCCTTTAGCGGTAGAGTAGGTTTAAAAAAAGGAATTTGAAGTAAAAAATTTCTCGCTTTTAGTTAAAAAGTTTTAATCCAAATGCTAATCCATGTTCCTTGACTTACTAGCTGTGTGATTTCGAGCATTAATGAACTACTCTGTTATGGGTGTGGTAAAGAAAGGCTTAATTAAAAAAAAAAAAAGGGAAGAAAAGGCTGTGGACAGAGCAGGGAGGGGAACCAGAGGCCCAGAGGCTGAAGCAGGGTGAAGCGGTGTGCGGGGGGTTCTCCGCCTGCCTGATGCAGCGGTGGCCGCTCCAGACGGCAGGCACGACTGAGAGACGAGATCATAACCACGACAAACCAGTTACAGGTTTAGAACACAGCTGGTAGCAAGTTGGGGTGTCTGAACATGAAAAAGTCCCTGTCTCCGTCAGGATCCTGGAGACCCTTTCTGCTCCCTGAGGGTCCCCCTCTGTTCAGTCACTACTGCAATGCGCAGAAGGACGCGGACAGAGGAGGAATGTGGGCAACCAGACCCGACTCAGCACAAAACCACATGGAGAAGGTGCTCTTGGCTCCTCGCTGCCTGCGGGCCACGAAGTAGAGCTTAGGTTTCCATGATTCAAGGGAGGATCCTTCTTTTCTATCAGCCTGCTTGACTTATACTAAAATTTCCATCCCCATTTACTCTTTGGCCAAATAGTTTTTTCTTTTCTTTTTTTAAGATTTATTTATTTGAGAAACAGACAGAGATAGCGAGAAGACAGCATGGGTTGGTGGGGGAAGGGGTGGCAGCAGGCTCCTCACTGAGCAGGGAGCCTGATGCAGGGCTCGATCCCAGGACCCCGGGATCATGACCTAAGCCGAAGGCTGACACCCAACTGACTGAGCTACCCAGGCGCCCCACGGCCAGATATTTTATACCGTGGCCCCTGTCTTAGTATTTCCGAGTGCTCTCACCTACCTGCATTAACATGTAGTAGATCCCGGTCATGCCGTGGGCCGCTCCCACGTACTGCTTCCGGTGCCACTGATACAGCAGTGGGCAGCGCTCGGCTTTCCTTTCTTCCCTTGACAGAGTCTTGCCGGAGTCAATGATAGCACTGACCACCTAGGAGATAAGGCGACAGCGTTGGTCTAGAAAACTTACATGGATCCTGCTTTCATCTCCTTGACACTAACAACTCTCTATTGATCACTTAATCTAAAAATCTACAAGCAGTCAGCAGCCACGACTGTTACCTTTAGTTCCTAATAAATACGGTCAGAGAGAAATCAGAAGACAATCTCAGGACAGAAAAAGAAATGAGGAAGTCAAACCACGAGACTGGAAGTTCTTGGGATGAACAGTTTACTAGAATCTAGTAAAACTTCCTATAAAAACTCTTACTTAGTTGCCTCGTAACTGCAATGTTTCCTCAAAGGACTGGCACTACGTCTTCTAGGAAAGGCTGGAGGGATTACCCTTATTTATGGAAAGGCTAATGAAATGAGGTCTCTTGTGGCCCGCAGAGTTTAGTTAAATCAAAAGAAAAGCCTGTCTGTATTGACTATGTAGCAAAGGCACGAAATGTTCCCTCCTCTCCTTTCTCCCTTCATACTTTCGGTAACAGTGCTCCAGGTTCTAGCTGGGTGTCTGGCCTATACAGACACAGTCTTTTGACTATTTCTGGAAGTAGGAAGTGAGCAGAAGTGTAGCAGACAACTTCTGGATCGTGGCCTTAAAAAAGAAGTTTCTTATCTTCTACTTCCTCCCCCGCCTTGAGCCGAGGGGTGCTTGATTAGCTTTGGGCAGGCAGGCAAGGGCATGGCCCTAGGATATGGTAGGATACAAGAGAAGAACCCGGATCCGGAGCCATATTTGCTGGGACTGCCTACCAGTTTGGATGCATTAGGAAAGAGGAATTAAACATCCTGTCTTTCTGAAGCTGCTGTTGTTTTTTTTTTTAAAGATTTTATTTATTTATTTGACAGAGAGAAAGATCACAAGTAGGCAGAGAGGCAGGCAGAAAGAGGGAAACAGGCTCCCCGCTGAGCAGAGAGCCCGATGCGGGACTCGATCCCAGGACCCTAAGATCATGACCTGAGCCGAAGGCAGCGGCTTAACCCACTGAGCCACCCAGGTGCCCTGCTGTTTGGTGTTAGTAAAGACAGGTGAATTAACAGGCCCAAGAGGAGGACAGATTAAAAAAAAAATTCCGAGAAAGGAGAATAAAGGAGCTACATATTGCTTTTATGAGATGCCTTAAGAAATGACTCCTACCTAGAAGCAGCGTCCAGCCCCTAATGGTAGGTTGGGACAGTAGAGATGACGGGGCGCCCACGGTTGACGCCAACCCCACAGTACCTCTTTAATAGCTGACTCACACACGGTGCCTGGACCGATCTCTGTGTTCAGGTAGAGTAAGGCGTACAGGTAACCTGCCCGTCCGTAGAGCAGCTCGTCGGGGAGGTCTGAATCCCGGCACACAATGGTCCTCTGAAGCTGCAAAAGTCTACCCAACGAGAACATTCCGTTTTCCCAGAGAATGGTGGAAACACCTCTTCCGGAAACTGTTAGTAACCCTATCGCTGCAGAAGTTTCCTGTTATTTATTTTTCATTTAAAACTGATTTTAAGGAATGCAAACAAATGGAACCCAAACAACAAAAACTTCTCCACTACACTCATCTCCTCTCAGATATCACAGTAATGACAACACACCTTTCTGTTCAAAGTATCTACCTTGATACTAGCCTAAACCATGTGAGAGATGATATTCAATTTTGAAATCAGGATTAGAAGAAGGTGATTTAAAATTTAAGAGAAAATAGTACTAAATAAATAAATAAAAGGAAAAAAAAAAAGAAAATAGTACTAAAATGTAGTCAATGCTTGGGAATTAGCTTGACTCAGTCTATCATTCAACAAACATCAACAGATACTCCACCAGGCACCAGGGGAGCGGGGCCTGACTTCTATCTCTTCAAAAACAGAATATAAACCAGAGGGGCAATAAAAGGTTTACACGGACTGTTCTAAAACAACTGAACCTAAAAATAACTTAGTTATGATAGTAGATCTAAGGCACATAAGCTAATTTTTGTGCAATGAAGGCAACCAAAAATTATTTATGAAAAGGATCAAAGTAACATGAAGAAGCATGTTTATTTCTCCCAAAATTAAGGCAGATGCAAGCTTGATAGAAAGGAGGCATGTGATCTTATAATCACACTCAAGGTTAATATGCAAACCTCTTTACTTCTTGGAAAGACCTGCTGGCAACAGCAGATGAATTAAAGAATTTTCTTTTTGAATGTCTTCCTACGGGAAGACCTTGATCTGAGAAGTTAGAGTAAATACTGCCAGTTTTAAAGACTCACTTTGTGATGCATTCCTGGGACTCGCAATCACTTTTGAGTTTATGATACACCACAGCGCCTACAGCAAGGGGTCCAGCATCCCCACAGAGGAAAGTGACCCTGCGGCCATTCAGGTTCCGAAGGGTTCTCTTTACGTAGTCCAGGGATCGGAGCAGGTAGGTCTGGTCACAGGTGACCCGGTACAACTGCAGGTACAAAAGGGCTATGCCTGGAAAATTCCCCCGGCCCCAAAGAAAAGCATTATTACCTTCCAGACATTATTTTGTGATCACCTGAAAAACTTACACAAACCCTCTGTTTCTGAAGGAGCATCAGCAAACTAATTACATCTGGTACATCTTTTAAAAACAGAAAGAAAAAACCTCTCAGGGTAGAAAAACCTAAACCGAGTTTAAATCCCTTCTTTTGCTAATTGCTCTGTTACAGTGATTCAGTACCTCCTAGACAAGGTAAAACGTAAGACTGCCCACACATTCCCATTTTCCGTACATTCATTTCAAGATTTTATTCCTTCTCTGTATTTTGAGCTAACTGGATCCTTTCCTTTCTACTTCTCATATTATCACTTTCTCCTATCTTACCCCAAATTAAATCATGACTTTCTAAATTTTACAGCCCTACCAGGCTCCCCACCAAGCAGGACCGATGCGGGGTTTAATCCCAGGACCCTTTCTAAAAAATTAGAAAATTTTTCTATTTCTCACAATTTTTCAATTGTCTTTAGTGACCAAACTATCCAAATGACCAACCGACCAGTGAAGTCAACTCACTGTTTATGGAATAAGCCATATGATGCAGAGTAAGGTAACTAAAGGAATACGCAGCCTTCCTATCTTAAAAATTTTATTTATTTATTATTTAGGGAAAGAGCAGACTATGAGCTGAGCATGAGCCCCGCGCGGGGGCTCCATCTCACAACCCTGAGATCACGACCTGAGCTGAAACCATGAGTCAGATGCTTAACCAACTGAGCCCCCAGGTGCCCCGTCACCTTCCTATTTTAAAGGACAAATCCAGACACTTAAGGGAACCAGAGAGGGGTCGTCTTCTGGAAATCTCCAGAGGATGACCTATATAGCTTCTGGAAGAAGCCTGCTATTATTCCTGGCCTCCAGTCACTATGACGGCTAAGTAAAAAAAAGGATCCATATAAATATATGCTTAATAAGATATGTTATAAAGTACTGAAGGAAATGATAGGATGGTGAAAAGGACAAAGAGAACATTTATTCATGTTAGATTGGGATTCTCTCATACTATGTTCTTTGTCTAATATCCTACTCTCACTTCTATTAGTTTTCCTTTTGCTTTTTATTTTATTTTGTTGCGATGTTTCACTTGAGTGTAACTGGCACGCGACATTCCAGCAGTCTCCGGTGCACCACATGGCGTGGTTTAGCAGCTGTGTTCTGCTGTTTGTTTTGCTTTTTATATTTCTCTAAATAGGTAGTTTCTTTTTTCTTTAATTCTCCATTTTGGAGTATCCTACTTCACTTTCAGATGCTTAACAGCTCTCTCTACATGTATTTGAAAAGTCCTTTTCTCATTATCTATTTCTTGAAAGTTGTTAAGTTAGGTATAAAAGTACCGTATTTGTAAGCCTTAAAAAGTGTCCCATAGGGGCACCTGGGTGGCTCGGTGGGTTAAAGCCTCTGCCTTCTGCTTGGGTCATGGTCCCAGGGTCCTGGGATCGAGCCGCGCATCGGGCTCTCTGCTCAGCAGGGAACCTGCTTTCCCCTCTCTCTGCCTGCCTCTCTGCCTACTTGGGATCTCTGTCTGTCAAATAAATAAATAAAATCTTAAAAAAAAAAGTGTCCTGTATTTAAGCTGTTTCTGTATTCAAGAAATTGAAATTATAAACATAAAGAAAGCAAGCTAAAAGTACCTACAAATTTCAAACATATTTATTATAAAAGGTTTACAAATAAGTACTTCACAATTGACTCAGAAATCCCTAGAAAAGAGAATGATAATGTGGTCAGCCTGCGAACATTAAAACCTATAGTTATAGATGTATTCAAAACTTAAATGTTGTAATTAATTAAATATTTAATTTTAGAGAGGGGGAGGGGCCGAGGGAGACAGGCCCCTCAAGCAGGCTCCACATCCAGACAGGGTCCAATGTGGGGCTCAGTCTCGCAACCCTGAGTTCATAACCTGAGCAGAGAGGGAGAGGGAGAAGCAGGCTCCCCACCAAGCAGGAAGCCCGATGCGGGGTTCAAACCCAGGACCCTGTTATCATGACCTGAGCGAAGGCAGATGCTTAACGAAATGAGTCACCAGGCACCCCGAGTTGTGTAAATTCTTGACATATATTGGATACTATCCTTTTATCAGATAAGTCATTTGCAAACTTCCCCCATTCAGTACATTGTGCTTTGGTTTTATTGACTGTTTCCTTTGTTGTGTAGAAGCTTTTTATTTTCATGTAGTCCCACAGAAAGAGTAGCACTGGGATATCCTGTTCTTTCAAAGAAACTGTCTCTTTTAATTAGCTTATTATTCGTTTTCTCCTAGTTTTACTAAGGCACAAGTGACAAAATTGTACATGTAAGTGTACAACAGAGTGCTCTGATATACTTAGGCATTGTGAAAATATAACCGCAATCAGGTTAACAAACCCATTACCTCACATGCCATTTATTTAATGTGTGTGATGAAAACAATCTTCTCTCTTAGCAAATTACAAGTATACAGTACAGTATTATGAACTACAGTCACAATGTTGTACATTGGAGCTAAAGAACTAGTGTATCTTGTAACTGAAGGTTTTGTACTCTTTGACCACCATCGCTTCTTTTTCCCATCCCACAACCCCTGGTAATCACTGTTCAACTCTGTTTCTATGACTTCGATGTTTGTTTGTTTTTAAGAATTCATGTATATGTGAGATCATGGTTCTACCTGGTTTATTTCACCTAGCATAATGTCCTCTAGGACCATCCATGCTGTCACCAATGACAGGATTTTGTTCTTTCTCGTGGTTGCATAATAATATTTCATTACATCCACACAGATGTAGGTATAGGTACGTGTACACATAAATACAGACAGAAATAGACAGAATAGACAGAAAAAAACACTTCTTTATCCATTCAACCATCAGCAGATACAAAGGTTGTTTCCATATTTTGGTTGTTATGAATAATGCAATAAACATAGGGGTGCATGTATCTTTTCGAATTAAGTTTTCTCCCTTTAGAAAAATACCCAGAAGTAGAATTGCTGGATCACCTGGTAGTACTATTTTTAATTCTTTACATTTACTTTCCCACCAAAAGTATACTACAGCTCCCCCTTCTCCACATCCTTGTCATCATTTTTCATCTATTTTTAACAAAAGCCATTTTAACAGGTATGAGGTGATATCTCATTATGGTCTTGATTTGCATTTCTTGATAATTAGTGAACACTTTTTCAGGAATGTGTCAGCCATTTGCATGCAGTTCTTTGGAAAATATCCACTTAGGTCCTTGGCCCATTTTTTAAACTGGATTATTATTATTATTATTATTATTATTATTTTTACTATTGAGCTGTGTAAGTTTCTTATACATTTTGGATACTGACCCTTTAGCATAAATATGGTTTGCAAATATTTTCTCCCATTCTCCCAAAAGAAAATTACCTTTTCTGTTAATTGCTTCCCTTGCTGTGCAGAACTTTTTAGTTTGACATGGTTCCCCTTATTTTTTCTTTTGTTGCCTAAGCTTTGGGTATCATATAAAAATAATCATTGCCCAGATTTGAGTCAAGGAGCCCCTATGAATTCTCCTAAGAGTTTCATGGTTTCAGGCATTACATTTAAAGTCCCTAATCCACTCTGAGTTAATTTTTGAGAGTGGTATGAGATAGCGGTCCGGTTTCATTGTTTTGCACATGACTCTCCAGTTTCCCCAATACGATTTATTGAAGAGATTATTTTTTTCTCCATTGTGTGTCCCCTTGTTGCCTTTGTCAAGGATATTAACCATTTATGCTGGGTTTATTTCTGGGCTCTCTATTCTGTCCCTCTCAGCTATGTGTCTGTTTTCATGCCAGTACCACACTGTTCTGATTACTATACCTCTGCAATATATTCCAAATTCAGAAGTGTGATGCCTCCAGCTCTGTTCTTTCTCAAGACTGTTACTGCTATTTTGGTTGTTTTATAGTTCCATGAAAATTCTAGGATTTTTGTTTTCCGATTTCTGTGAAAAATACCATAAAATTTAATAGAAATTATATTATCCATAGATTTCTTTGGGTGATATGAATATTTTAACAATATTAATACTTCTGATCCATGACAATGGGATATTTTATCTACATCTTCTTCAATTCTTTTATCAATGTCTTACAGTTTACAGTACAAAGGTCTTTCACCTCCTTGATTAAATTTATTCCTAAGGATTTTTCTTTGATACTATGATAAATGGAATTGTTTTCTTAGTTTCATTCTCCAAGTTTCCTGCTAGTCTATAGAAACACAACTGATTTTTGTATATTAATTTTGTACTGAATTTGTTCATCAGTTTTAACAATTTTTTGGCAGGGCCCTTAGGGTTTTCTCCATGCAAGATCATGCTATCTGCAAACAGAAACAATTTCACTTTTTCTCTCTGACTTGGGACAGCTTTTATTCTTTTTTCTTGCCTAACTGCTCTGGGTACATGTATATATTCATTTCCTCTTGACGAACTAACTCCTTTATCATTACATAGCAACTGTCTTTGTCTCTTGTTAGAAGTTTTTGAAGTTGAAGTATAGTTTCTCTGTCATAAGTATATCCAACCCGGCTCTATTTTGGTTTTCATTTGCATCAAATGTTATTTTTTCTGTCTCTTCACTTCCAGCTGTTCCACTTTCCGCAGTCCACTAGAGCTGACATGAGTCTCTTGTAAGCAGCATATTGTTACATCTTGTTTTTTATCCATTCAATCACTCTGTTTCTTTTGGTTTGATAATCCATTTGAATTTAAGGTACTTATGATACGTAAGGACTTACATATGCCATCTTATTCATACTATTATTATTCATATTCTGGCTGTTTTATATTTTCTTTCTTCCTCTTTCTTTCTCCTAGTCTGATGATTTCCTGCATTGGTACACTTTGGTTCCTTTTTAAAAATTGCTTGACTAATACTATACATTTTTCCTTTGTGGTTTATATAACATATAACATTCTATTTTAAGCTGATAAGTTAACTCTGACAAAAACTCTACTC